GGGACTGCATCTCCAAACTGTCCCCCGGCTCCACGTCGAAAGGTATACGGTCCTCTCGAAAAAGATTCTCGATTTCATGCATCTGAGTGTTGGCGTCAGCCTCGCAGCCTCCGATCACCTGCACGTTGTCCACGTACACTCCGGCAACGCACTTGCCGGGCTCGATGGTCGGGGTAGGCTGCATCTCCCTCATCACCTTCTCGGCCCCGTCGGGCAGCGCCCGCTGGACGCGGTAGGTCACGGCCTCGTTGGCGAAGTAGAGCGCCCAGGACCAGCCCATGCACACCGCGCACATGCAGGGGTAGAGCTGCTCGCCGTCCACGACCTTGGTCTCGGCCCCCTCGGCGTCGTCCCAGATCGAGTCCGGCAGGCAGCCCATCTCCGTCAGTTCGTGGGTGCCGAACAGGTCTGCGAAGCCGAACCAGCTCGCCAGCTCGGGGATGGTGAAGTTGTAGAAACAGTCCCCGACGTCTCCCTCGCGGCCAGCTGGGCTGAAGGCCCCGGAGCCGAGGCCCCCGAAGCCCGATGCCTTCAGGCGGGGGTCGGAGAGGTCGAGGTCGGCCATGCATCGCGAGGAGCCTAGCCGAGTAGTGGGAGGTGGCCGATGCGCCCGATTGGCCGCTCGGGCGTCGATGATCAACCTCTGGAGCCCATCCTTTTTCTTGACCACGAAGATGCCCGCATGCCCCTTCAGCCGCCGACGCCAAGTCAACAGGCCCTGCTGGTCCAGGCGCTGGTACAGTCGCTTCCGAAGGTCTCGCGAGCGCCGGAAGAGGGGGGTCCCAGTATGGCGTGACACCCATTCCCTCGGCACGATCTCTCTCAAGCTCCGCTTCGTCCATCTCGATCAAGTCGGAAGCATGCCGAAGGTAGCCAGCGGCCGACGCGGGCAACTCCCGGCGTATCGGCCGAACGTGGACCTTCCTGTGCAGGATCTTGACCTTGTCGAAGTCGAAGCTGGCCAAGTTCTTGGGCTCCATCCCGTAGTGGTCTCTCGAGTCGAGGATCTCGTGCAACGATGACTCCTCTGTGAGGTCAGTGGGGCAATCCCCATACGCCAGTACACGCCGGGCGACATTCTGGATCATCCACTGCTGCACGGCGGTCGGCCGGAGGTGCCCTTCTGGTGCGCGGTCGTGCCCCTGGGCGCGACGTGAATTCACGTTGGCGGCGGCAAGCTGGTTCAGGGCCCGAACCGTGTCAAAAACTTGCCGTTGCCGCGCAGAGCTGCATGCAGAGCCGAGGCCACTCGGATCGCAGGGCAGGGGAAAAGGGTCTCCATGCCGTCGATCTCGTGACCGGATCCCTCCAGGAATAGAGGGGGCTAGCCCACGTCTGTGTCGGCTATGGGGGGGCTCTCTCGGCGCCCGGGCTGCCAGCGCCGGCTCCCCCACAGCCCCGAGAGGCGTCATCCTCCCTCGCCGGCGCCCTCGGCGCCGGCCTTGCCCCCTCTCTTCTTCAGCTTCTTCTTGGACGGGTCGTAGCCGTCGCCGCCCTTGCCCTCCTTCAGGTTCGTCTTCTGCTCCTCGCGGTACAGGCGCTCCTGCTTCCAGATCTGCGCCCTCTCCTTGAGCTTGTCAGTGACCCAGGAGTTGAACTTGTTCGTCGTCGCGCGGCCCGCTGCATTCACCGGGGCCGAGATCACTATGTCCAGCCCGCTGTAGTCAGGGTGGCGCGGGTGGCGCTCTACCGCTATCTCCGTTTGAACCAGCCAGCGCACGATCAGCTCCGCAGAGGCCAACATGGAGGCGTCGACCTGGTCCCAGGAGTGCATGAGCCGAATCACCTCGCACAAGTTGCGGTGCACATGATTGACTGCCGAACCCTCACCGACTCCGCTGAGCCGCTCCCACTCCGCCTGGTACGACGTCATGTTGCCAGGCCCGGAGGCCACCGACTCGAGGAACTCCTTCACGCTCCTCACGCCGGCGAGCGGGAAGTTCGGCTGATCCGTGTCTCTCATCAGCGCGACCGCCTCCGAGAGCCTCAGACAGCGCTGCCCAGCATCGTCGAGGTGGTCCCCGAGCGTGCGCACGTCTCCGAGGTCCGCCTTGGTCTCCTTCTTGAAGTCGTCGAGTTTGCTGGCCGCGATCTTCTGCACGAAGATCTCCTCTCCGTCCACGACCGCCACCCCCTTCGTGTCGAAGCCCGTGCCGCGGGCGTCGTCGTCCATGATGGCCGAGTCGATCACCTCGCCGAACTTCGCCGACCGGGGCTCGGCCACCACCCAGATCATCCTCTCGACCACGTCCACCTGGCCCACGCCCAGCAGCTGCCCCTGGATCTTCGCACGGCGACGGAAGCCCGCCAGGGCGGCGGCAGCGATGGGGACCTGGTTGCCCAGGTGGGCAGGGAACGGGGCTCGCCTCTCCAGCACCTCGTGCCGGATGTCCAGCAGCTTCAAGCGCACCAGGGCGAGATCAGGGGTCAAGCTGATCCAGATGTCGTCCGACACCCTGAAGAGCAGCACTCTGTGGTGCCAGAGGAAGCCGTTCTCGTCATCTGGGTAGTGGACCAGGATCTGCGGGTCGCCGATGTCCAGCGTCAGCACGTCTGCCATCGGGCTACAGCTGCCGGCGGCTCGGCGTCGAGGGCCCTCGGCCCGGCTGCGGGCACGCCAGCCCCTCTACCGCCGCCGCCCTCGAGGCCGCGGCCGGTTGGGCGCCGGGCTCGGCCGCCCGGCCCGGCGCGCGCTCGCGCCCGCCGCAGCGACAGCGCCGGCAGGCCCCCACCAGGAAGCCCAGCGTGCCAGCACCAGAGGCCACAGCGCCGAGCAGCAGAAGCCCGGCCAGCAGCAGGCACCGCAGCGCCCACACCTCCGACTGGAGGAGGCCGACCTCCTGCTGGAGGTCGATGATCTCGCGCAGCTCCCAGTCGCAGGAGCAGCGCTCAGAGTCCTCCTGGCAGTGGCCGGAGGTCGCGAACGGCGCCGCGTGAGCCGCCTGGGTGGTGACTCCGCCCCAGCCCCAACTCCAGCAGGCGCTCCAGGTCGCCCCCCACGCCGTGAGCAGTGTCGCCCACAGCGGAGGCGCCCCTCCGTCCATGCAGGGGCCGCCGCGGCTGGGGGCCTCTCAGACTTTGAGCCACCGCAGTTGCGGGGGGTCAGCATTTACAAGCACGGGCGAGGAGGGGCCTGTTGGGGTATTCACGTCTACGACTAT